TATTTTGACCCCCTGCCATGGTATATTGAACCCCCTACTATAGACCTCCAATTTCAAAAATTCTAGCTATTCTAACTCCTTTACATAGTTATAATAGTTCAATAAGTAGTATGTATGTATTTAACATGCTGGAAAAGATGTTTTGAAAATTTTACTTAGCCATGGTATTTTGACCCCCCCTGCCATGGTATATTGAACCCCCTACTATAGACCTTGAATTTCAAAAATTCTAGCTATTATAACTCCATTATATAGTTATGATACTGCAATTAGTAGTTAGTATGTATTTAACATGCTGAAAAAGATGTTTTGAAAATTTTACTTAGCCATGGTATTTTGACCCCCCTGCCATGGTATATTGAACCCCCTACTATAGACCTCCAATTGCAAAAATTCTAGCTATTCTAACTTCTTTACATAGTTATAATAGTTCAATAAGTAGTATGTATGTATTTAACATGCTGGAAAAGATGTTTTGAAAATTTTACTTAGCCATGGTATTTTGACCCCCCTGCCATGGTATATTGAACTCCCTACTATAGACCTCTAATTACAAATAAATCTAGCTATTCTAACTCCTTTATATACTAATAATTCTCATATAAGTAGTTTGTATGTATTTAACATGCTGGAAAAGATGTTTTGAAAATTTTACTTAGCCATGGTATTTTTACCCCCCTGCCATAGTATATTGAACCCCCCTACTATAGACCTCTAATTTCAGAAATTCTAGTTATTCTAACTCCTTTACATAGTTATAATAGTCCAATAAGTAGTATGTATGTATTTAACATGCTGGAAAAGATGTTTTGAAAATTTTACTTAGCCATGGAATTTGACCACCCTGCCCTTCCCTAGATCTTCCATCAATTTCTTCATTTTCCATCAACACTTGATGGACAATTGATGGAAAGTTGATGGTACTTGATGGAATTCCATCCTAAACCAAAAAAATCCATTAAAAGGATGATGGAAATTAGGAATTTTATTTCCATCTGCATTCTTATGGATGGAAAATTTGATGGCATCTTTAACCCCTGATGGAAAATTGGATGGCATTTTTACCCTCTGATGGAAAATATGATGGCATTTATTCCATATGATGGAAAATAGGATGGAAATGAAGGAAGTTTGATGGAAATTGGACTTTAACATTTTCTTTGATGGAAAGTGAGATGGAATTTGGACTTAGAATATTTTGTTGATGGAAAGTGTGATGGTATTTAAACTCTGTCATTTTGCTTGATGGAAAAAACTTAGAAAATTTCAGCAAAATTGTGTCTGAAAATTTAACATCCCTTACTGAAGTAAAAAGTTTTCTATTATATTGGAGCAAACAAATTTGTTTACAAGAAGTACTAGCAAGAAAGTTACATGTTGTTGCAGCTGTAACCTGTAACATAATCTCTCAATGTTACTGCAATAATATTTGTTCGTGAGAAAGTTGCAGTATTTTGCTGCAATGTTGCAAGAAAGAGTTTGTTTGCTAGAAAGTTGCAACAAACAATTTCCTAAACTGTGCAATACACTTATGATATCTTGTAACAGGAAAGGATCTCTAGAATACTTTGGTTTTTATTTCAACCAGTGTAAACTTATTAAGTGTGACATATTATTTTTTGTTAAAATTACTTTTTGTCACTATTTATATGACTGTTCTGTAACAAATACTTTTATTTTTACATTTTCCATCAAATGATGTATAATACACCCCTTGCAGAAATAAATCCTGACAACTTTTATAATAAGGATATCTCAAGATTATCCTGGGATATCCTGAAAATATCCTGTTCGGCTATAAGTCCTTTTTTTAGGAAAAAACTTAATGGGAGAATTCCAGAAAATGTCAGGACTTTCAAATCAAGCAGCTTAAAACTGGGGGAATTCTCAGGATATCTCAAGACTTTCAAAAATCATATATAAACCAGAATATATCAGGACTTTTCGATCATCATTCATCCAACTTTCAGGACATTTACAAATTCTATCTGAATGGAAAAAAAAAAAAACAAAAGTCCTGGATGATTCCTGGTATTGGGACTTAAGAAAAAATATAATCTGTATTACAAATTCAACCAAATAAAAAAGAAAATCTTTGGGACTGAAATTAAATATTGTTTGTTAAATATATATATATTCACATTCACATGAAGATACAGTGTTCTAGCCAGGATTTAAAAAGGGCAGGGTGCTCTAGTCAGAAAAATGACAATTTTATTCGTAAAATGTCATTGAAAAAAGGGCAATTAAACTAAAATAAAACGCAGACACTAAGGTAAAATCAAGTTTCAGTTGAAGGGGAGTAATAAAATTCTATACTTTTGGCACATTTTTTTTTATGTTTAGCTTTATAAAAATCTCGGGTCATTAATAGTGACTAATAACATGTTCACACTGCAGCTGAATTTAAATATTTAGTGGCTTATGAGTTTCATATATATGTTAACCTGTTAGTTACTCATCTTTAGTATCTTATGCAAACTTACAAAAAACCAATTTGAATTATTATTTTAATGCACTTGATAGATCAATGAATGGAGGTAAAGATGAAAAAAACAATTTTCAAAATATTTATATTTTAAGTGTTTTTGAAACAAAAAATTTGTTCCGGCGTGACATTTGTTCCGCCGGAACTTATTTCATAGAAAATATGTTCCACCAGAACTTATATCACAGAAAGTAAGTTCCAGCCCTGTAAAATTTGTTCCGGAACTAATTTTTTAACCAAATGTCAAATAAGTTCCGGAACAAATATCACAGCTCCATGAATTTTGTTCCGATATAAATTGTTTAAAAAAAATCAAATAAATTCCCGTTATAAAAGTTAAAAATTTTTGAAATATCAAATTAAGTCAGCATATCTGTTGTAAGTAGATAATATGATTAAAAAACAAATGCACAATTAAGATCAAAATTAAGATTAAAATTAAGATTAACAACGGTGATAAATAATTTAAACACCGTGACTATTTAATTTTTGCAGTTTTAGCCTTTTTGTTTTGTTTTTGGCAATTTTCACATTGTTGAACATATTGCTTTGTATCACTCACAATACCTTTCCAGTAATATCTTTCTGTTATCTTATTGACAGTTTTATTAAGACCTTGGTGACCACTATGGTCATGGCACATTTTTAAAATACTTTGGACTTTGTCTTTTGTAACTATAAGTCTTGGTAAACTGACCAGTAGTTTGTCCTTCTCAATATAATACAAATGTTCATCTTCAACTATGAAATTTTTCTGTGTGATTTTTTCGAATTCTTCTTTTTTATGCATCATTTGTTTCATTTGGATATTTTTTTTCAAGAATGTAATTAAATATTTTGCTATACTCCAAAGGATCCATATTTGGATGTTTACACTTTTTATTATTATATATTATCAATGTAGTGCTTGTTTTATAATGTACTTGAATGATAACTTTAAACTCACTAATGACAATGCTCATTATTAAAGAAAAGTTGTATAACCAGTGGAACATATTTCACAGACTAGGAACTTATTTCACCAGGTAAGGAACAAATTTCATAGAATAGGAACTTATTTCACAATGTAAGGAACAAATTTCATAAACCCAGAACTTATTTAACCAGGTAAAGTGTGGAACTTATTTTATAGAGATGGAACAAATTAATTAGAAATTGTCTGTGAAAAAAGTTCTCCCGGAATATATTTCATGTGATATTTGTTCCACTGGAACTTTTATCACAGGAACAAATTTTGGCTCACATTTTCAGGTTAAAAATAATTAAAAGAAATATTCTAATATGCATTTGCATTCAATTTGTTTTATATTCATTTAATTACGGGAAAAAAAAACATAAATTAACGGAATATATTGTGAAAAGGTGATAAAATAGGGGAAGTAACTCATTTTTTTTTTTGGCAAACATTTTTGAAATAGACAAATTGTTTTGACATAAAGCAAAGATTATTGGTGTTTAATTAACAATGTGTTTTGACACCAAAGCTGTCAGGTGAAGCCATGCACCTAATGGGTCACTTAATTTTACAGTTTACACAGCTAGCTGAACTTCCTGTTCATGGACGAATTACGAATTTCAGTTTGACCGTATTTCAAAGTAAGAAAAATGCCGAGATTTTCGCGATATAAACGGCAGGGAACTCGAGAAACGCCAACGGCTGTTTTGCCAGACAAGCTGGGGCGTTTCTGATTTACTCCCAAGTTCACATAAGTGCGTTTCTATTAATTATCAGATCAATGTCATTTTTCTGACTAGAGCACCCTGCCCTTTTTAAATCCTGGCTAGAATCACATGTTTTTTGTAATTGTACTGAACAGTTCGACCCTACAAAATACCGTTCTAGATAATGCGGCCAATAGTTCATCCGCATGCACCCTGTGCCGATTAAATTAACGTTGTTTTTTTCTCTTATTTAAAACAGAGACATATATACACATGTGTATATATGTCTCTGTTTAAAACTGGCCAGTTGTAATATTTTTATGCGACACCCTTGATCTATTTTCATAATACCGGTACGGGAACGGATCAACTTCTGGTCGATATAATATGGGGCGAGATAGTCACTTCGACGTTAGCGCACTTGAGAAATACGTCATCAAAATTTGATTACGCTGATCAGTAGGACAACCGGAAGCGTCTGAGTAAGGATTTCAGTGCTCAGTGATACGGTTCACTAGACGACGTTGTCAACACGTAATGGCGGCCATTGTTTGACGTTGGATTTGGCATTCCACGTTGTAATGTTGCATTTATCACATTCTTGGATGCTCAAATTTTATGCCACACAACATCAAAGGTAAACGCTTATTTCAGATATTCAGTTAATAATTTTCAAATAAGTGAATGTGATCCCAGGAAATGTTTCAAAAGGCAAAAGTAAAGTGTAAAATTGAAATCCTATTTTTCATCATTTGACAATTCCTATTCATATATTGAATCCACTATTTACACCAACCACTGATGAATTACATTCGGATTTCGGTCTTAGGTATCCGCCCTTGTCTCCGAAAATATTATACCCAAACAAGTTGTCAACATCCGTTTTCAAACTGTTCAAAGTGAAACTCAAATTAAAGTGTTATTCACAATCTCCGTGGAAAATATTGACGCCATCACTTCATGCTCAGATAATGGAACATTGTAAACCTTTAACAGCAAATACGGAACAAAATGAATCAAATTTGAATGCAAGGACGATACTATACATGCAATTTGCTGAACGTCTCAGGGCAGGTTCAAATCAAAAGTCCATGTACCAAATCATTAGCATGTGAGACACATTCACTTTAGCTCTTGGCTACTTTATACCTGGTCTAATGTCCAGTAATGAAAATATATTCGTCCCGTTTCATACATGTACACCCAATCTAATTAAAAACCTATCTCTCATCGCTCCCGTTTTCTGATATGCCACGCGACATATCAGAAAACGGGAGCGATGAGAGATCGGTTTTTAATTAGATTGATGTACACCAAAATTTGATATTTATAAAAACTTCCATGAACATAAATACAATCCTGATCCTGATCAAGTTCCTAAGATCAATATATAGTTTGACACAACTGGTCTCTTTGTACTACATTGTAGCTTGTTTCAGCTATGTACTGTAGTTTCTCTGGTATCCGGTCGTTCCGTCCCCAAACCGATCCGGCCCCAAGTCGATCCGGCCCAAAGTCGATCCGTCCCAAGTCGATCCGGCCCACGTCGATCCGTCCCTACGTCGATCCGGCCCCATAATAAAATATGGTCTTTATAGTTTGATCTTTTGTTTGGTGTTATGTGTTGTTGTTTTTGTTTTCAGGTAACATCAGAGGCTTCTATAACACCTGTTTTTTTTTGTAATATCGAATATAGTCAATATATTTTTTTTAAGTTGACAATATTTTGACTGAATAGTTGTGTGTAGAAAAAAAACTTGTGACAAGTTATATGAGTATCCATAATTCTTTATTGCAAACTTTGTATGTATCAGCTTGGGGATCGGCTTGTACCGTTGTGTATGTAACTATTTGTTATTACACAGGACGAAAGACTTGTTAAGATCACAGTCAATTGAAAGAAAATGCTAATTACTGCTGATTAATGTTGATGTCTGTTGGTTGTACTAAATTCTGTTATATACGTTTTTATTATAATTATACCCAAAAATCTTGAAAACTTGTAATGAAACATAATCAACATAGTTGTTTTAAACTCATCTAAAGAAAATATTTGTCAAAGGCCAATTTTTTTTACCGTACACCTTTTACATTATAATAAAATTCATAAACATTTATGAATTACAATTAATATGAATTACAATTAATATATATCTTTATTTTTATTCCTTATGAATATATTTTTTTATTGGGCCGGATCGACTTTAAATATGGGCCGGATCGACGTTGGGCCGGATCGACGTGGGACGGATCGACTTGGGCCGGATCGACGTGGGGCCGGATCGACATGAAAGCGTTTCTCTGAGTGACACATTATATACTTAGTTTTTTTCTACAAAGGAAAAGCTATCACAGGCACTTGTTTCTGTCAATGTTCGCAATTCATACTCGTACACAAAAAATAGTTTTTATGTGGGTGGGTAGGAGGAATTTTTAAGGGACATAGGCCCCCTTTATTCATTTTCTTATTTTGCTATTATGACTATTAATATATAATAATTTATTTTCAATCTTTACACAATTATTTCCTGCATTTTATAAGACAGAATATTCATTTTCATACTGTGTCAGCCAGGCCTGTGGACATTACATTGCAATGTAATGCATTACATTACAATTACTTTGTGATTCTTCCATTACAATTACAATTACATTTTTTCTCACATGTAATGCATAACATTACAATTACTTTGCCTGTGTAATGCATTACATTACACATTACTTTTTCAATATAAAAACATAAACATTTAAAAAACAGATTTTTATAAGAAATTGATAAATATTATCGGGGTATATGTACATATATATACAGTGTTAGTGACATAGACTTCAAATACTTGAAAAATAAATAGATTATCATATAATTTTGTTTCTTACATTAATCACTTAATCATTAAGACATCATAAAGGGATTTCAAAGGGATATAATAAATGTGCCATTAAAGGATTATCTTGTTAAATGCCTAAGGGCTCTGTGAGGACAAACATAAGTTGAGAAGATTTGATTGCAATAAAGACATTTTGATATTAATTATATAATTAGGTGAAATAACAACCACAGTTTGGTAAAAAAAATGTTGATTGACATATTCATTCTTTCATTGAAATACATGTAAGGTGTGTATAGAATTATGAAAATTTCATCTTCATATTTTTTCCTTTCATCTATATAGTTTTGTTTAATAATTATTTGTAGAAGATTTTTTAAGGGCAAACTATCTATAATGATTTAATACAGTAATTAACTGTGACAATAATTTTATTCAATACTTTCTTTTGTTTTTGTTAATATTTTATTTTTATTTTACTATATTCTTCAATTTTATGTATTTTACCAATTTGTAATGAAAAGTAATGTACGGTAATGGAGGCATTACATTGATTTTTAACTAAAGTAATCATTACATTACATGTAATTGTAATGCAGAAAATGTGCATTACAAATTACTTTGCATTACACAGTCTTCACGATGAACTGCTAAATCTACAGGCCCGGAGCTCAATTTTTGAAAATTTTTAGTTAGATTCTGTTGGCTTGTAGATATGATTTTTACAGGCCCGAGAGCAATATAACAAGCCTGGGCTGCCTGGGCTGCCACTCAGCGTGAAGACTGATTACATCAAAAAAATGTAATATTACAATGCATTACAATTACAAATTACCATTACCCCAGGCCTGGTGTCAGCAATCTTGAGTAATGTTTATTTTATGTTCAGTTTTATCATAACATGGACATGTACCAGATCAGAATATTCATTACCATAAGACTCCTGCTATTAACCAATCACCCATCCATTTGAAAGCTTACACATGCATTACATGTACATGTATTCCCAAAAATCTAACAAATTTAAAATGCCTTTTGTCTGTACAATTTCTTTATATCTGACATGTTATATTCTTCCAACAATTACAAATGTATATATACAATCAAATTTATTAGAAATGAAAATCCATTGACGATATTACTTTCTCAAACTTCATTAATATTATCAAATTCAAGTTGTCAATACGGTCTCGACAGTGGTGGTTCCAGGATTTAAAAAAACTGGGTTGTGAGTGACCCCAAAATGTATAAAATTTCAGTATGCATTGTACGATGGACATGTTATGATGTTATGATGTTTATGTCCAATATTTAATATAAAAATATTATCAAAAGGTTTGGTATAACATAAATTTGCTCCATGTTAAACCTAAAAATTATTTTTCAATACTTTGAAATGTTAACTTTTCCTGTAACTTTTATGTACTGAGCAAAAATGCTGGGGGCATAATTATTTATAATACTTAATAAATACATGTATTTTCTTGGTAATTTATTTGGCAAATTTGTATTCATGTGTTGATGATAACAATGCAAAGTTTAATTTTGCTTAGAATAATTTCGTTTTATACATTTAGTAATTGTATGTACATTTGCTTTATATTTACAGGATGGAGAAAGATGTTCACTATGGATCAAAAATTCAAAACAGAGGACTTTTATATACAAACAAAAATACTTGTACAACAGTAATCAAATGGAATGTCTATGTGATTGCAACCACACATTTTAATGGAGAGTGATGTTGAAAGCAAAATTATTTTTGTTAATAGAAAACAATAGGACTACAATATATTACTAATTAGGGGTGAGTAATCCAAAAGTGTCTGTTTAGGGTAATTACAAAAGCAGGTTATTTACAATGTGCTATGATTTCAATCCCCAAAATATGAAACAAAACATAATATACATGGTATTCAAACTGTTTTCATAAGGAAACAGACTGAAAATATTCTGCATTTAACAGTCAGACATGAAATATACAGATGCATACTATGAAATGTTGTCCTGATAAAGGGAGGTAATATTTGTTGTATTGAGACAATATTTCATTGGCAGATTGTCATGAAATGTTGTCTCATGAAGGGGAGGTTATCAACATATATCATGTTGGATAATGATATCATTATATATAATTAAAGTGGTTTATTTGATTGATAATAACAAATAAACATAAATTAATAAATAGATACAGGTATTGATATATTAACAGAAAACTATTTTTGCTTATCATGGATGGTATTAAATGAATACAAAACACTTTTCTAATATCTCAGTCAAAAAGTTGTACCGAATATACTACATTCATTGTACTAAATAAATCAGAAGAGAGGCTAATTCATTTTGTTTACAAAATAATGATATTTATTCCAAATGTTTTGATCATGACAAGAAAACAAATGATGTTACAAAAAAACCTTGTAATTCATGAAGATAAACTTGAATGAGTAACATGTACTGTACTTGCTTTACAAAATAATTTCAGTTATATAAATTTAAAAATGAGCATGCTGCATGCCTGTGTAATGTTTTTATACGACCGCAAAAAAATTTTGCAATCGTATATTGGTATGACGTTGTCGTCATCGTCCGAAGACACATTGGTTTTCGCACTCTCACTTTAGTTTTTAAAGTGAATGGATCTCTATGAAATTTTACCATAAGGTTCAATACCACAAAAGGAAGGTTGGGATTGATTTTGGGGGTTATGGTACCAACAGTTAAGGAATTAGGGGCCAAAAATAAGCATTTTTGTAACTTCCAGACATAACTTGTGTGTTAGTGTATGAATCTCTCTAACATTGTACCACAAGGTTCCATATCACAAAGGGAATGCTGGGATTGATTTTGGGGTAATTGCCACAAAATTTTAGGAATTAGGGGCAAAAAACAAGCATTTTTATATGGACAAATACTTTAGTACAAAACATAATTTAAAAGCAGTGTAAGGGAGATAAATCAAATACATCATTTGAATTACCTCCCTTACACTGCTTTTAAATTATGTATAAAGTCATGGTTAATGAACAATTAAGACAATTTAAAACAGTGTAAGGGAGGTAATCCACATACAACGTTTTGATTACTTCCCTTACACTGCTTTTAAATTATGTTTAAATAAATGCATATTAATAAAGGAAGATCAGTAAAAATATCTGCAAATGTTTCATCTTTTTTTTTTACAAAAAATCCATATGAAAGATTTGACACCATATTTTAAATTCTATTATAAAATAGATAAAGTTAGCACTATGGTAAATTTAAATGGGTAATTATGGTTGCAAATTCCATTGGAAATTTGAATTGAGATTATGACCATATCTTGAAGGAAAGAATTGTTTTGGGGGGAAAGGGGGGGGGGGGGGTCAATTTTTTCTCATTTCAGATTTCAGAAAGTAAAAAGAATTATTCTTCAAATATTAATTTCTTTTCAAATTTTAAATATTGAAAAATTTCAAGAAGTAATCTTTAATTGCACAGTATGGCGCATTAGATTTGTAAAATCTTTGACCACATTTATTTATTTGTTATGCCAAATCTGACCGTGCATTTAGATTTTTAATTTTGGGTCCAGTTTTCAAATTGGTCTACAATAAGGTCCAAAGGGTCCAAAATTAAACTTAGTTTGATTTTAACAAAAAATGAATATATGGGGTTCTTTGATATGCTGAATCTAAACATGTATTTAGATTTTTGATTTCGGGCCCAGTTTTCAAGTTGAGCCAAATTGAGGTCCAAAATTAAAGTTTGTTTGATTTCAACAAAAATTGAATATATGGGGTTCTTTGATATGCTGAATCTAACCATGTATTTTGATTTTTGGGCCCCGTTATCAAATTGGTCCACATTGAGGTCAAAAGGGTCCAAAATTAAACTTTGTTTGATTTCATCAAAAATTGAATTCTTTGGATTCTTTGATATGCTGCATCTAACCATGTATTTAGATTTTGGATATTGGACCATAATAGGTAAATTAAAAAAATTTAAGTTCTTAGACCACATTCATTCTGTGTCAGAAACCTATGCTGTGTCAAATATTTAATCACAATCCAAATTCAGAGCTGTATCAAACTTGAATGTTGTGTCCATACTTGCCCCAACTGTTCAGGGTTCGACCTCTGCGGTCGTATCAAGCTGCGCCCAGCAGGGAGCATTTTATTAGTTCTATAATAATTTGATGGAGAAATGTTTTCATTGACAGTATTTCAGAGTGAACATATTGTCCTCCATGGAATATTGTCTGTCAGACAAAATTCTATATAAAATATTGTCTGTGGACATTTTTTTATAGGGAAATATTGTCATGGGCAGAATTTCATAGTGAAATATTGTCCAAATAGGGGTGACAAAAATCCATGGACAGGGACACTATTTCATAATGAAATATTGTCCTAGACAGTATTTCATTATGAAATAGTGTCCATGGACAATATTTTATATGGAATTTTGTCCGATGGACAATATTTCATGGGGGACAATATTTTATGTTACATATAGGTCAAATAATCCTACACAGACTTTAAGGCCAAATTGTATACTTTTAATAGTTTAAAGATTTTATTCTATAATCTATGCTGTATAAATGTCAATATTGTTTCTGACATTTGGATTTAACACCTTATTTCAAGAATGAAGGGTACAGTAATTTAAAATTAATTTATATGATCAAAAATAATATAAGGGAAGTAACTCTTACATGACGTGCATCATATCCTGATAATCCTTGATGAAGCGTCTTCATAAATTTGACCATTTTTTTAAGATAAGAGAACGACTTGAGCAGACCATATTGTTGTCATAGATGGCCATAATAATGAAATACAGTATATTATAATTATCATTCTTCATTACTTTTTGATTGAATTAACAAACTTAATTTAATAAAAAAATATTTTCTCAATTTCAGTACACAACACATCAGAAGAAGAATTTTACTGGAGGATACAAATTTTAATACCTGGAATCAGCAATTTCATATGAAATTTGTAAAGAGAGATATATTCACGTAAAGAGTGGAAAACCCCACCAGATAACCCAGTTGAACTTGGTTCAAGTGATTATTAGCAGACATTTTTGTTGAACTAATGCAAAATTTAATAAATGAAACTTTAGCCAACTATGAGCCCCAAAGTGTTGTAAATAGAAGAATTTTAAATATGTGAGACTCATCAACATTAAAATGTGCATAAGTGAAATGTAACAATATTTTGTAAAAAAAATCAGATTATTGTTGTCATGAAATATTTTATCAAAGCAATATCACTTTTATATAATCAACATGATTAAAAAGATTCCATATGTTTTATTGTATACTTTTAACAACCGAATATATCTTCCCTCTGGCCTCAAGTGTTTCCCTTTTATTTTGAATAAGTGTAATTAAAAGAAAGCTCCCTTTTGCTTTTGGCGAATTCAAGTTTTGTCATTCCAGAATTATTGGACTTTATTCATGGAAAGTTAGACATTTACCCAAATGTTGTAGAAGGACTCAACTTTGCTTTGATACTTTTTCCAGAAATTGTATCACAAGGCTAGATTTGATCAAATTAGCTCACTTTGGAGTATTTATCACATAATAAAATAAAATCTAGTATGCTTAGATTAATTTCCTTGACTTTTGCCCTGTTGTTGAGATTGAGTGAAAGAATTTAATTATTTTATCCCTATCAATATTGGGGGGTGCCATCGGGACCAGCATTCAACACTGCATAACTATATCCTATCACAAGTTATGATACAGCCAACCATACAACAAAGCCCCTGCCAACGAAAGAAGAAGAGGTGCAAATCATACAAAAAATATTTCATATGGCTAGTTACATTATATCCTTTGAAATATTTCATTGATTTTTTTATGTGTAATTGGTTTTTTTGAAAGTACATGAAGTTATTTTTTAAAGGTACTACAGTTCCCATTCAGTTCGAAAACAGTTCCAATATAAAAATAAGAAATTTGGGTTTGATTGCCAATGAGACAATTCTCCACCAGATACCAAATGACGAAAAGGTTAATGAGTATAGGTCTCTGACTGCCTTCAACAATGAGCAGAACCAATACTGCATGCATAGTAAGCTACATGTATAAAATGCCTAAATAACATGAATAGGATAAATGAAAATATATTTCGAAATTAAAGCATGTGTAGTAATGGATGCAAATAATAGTTTATGCAGAAAAAATCCTACTACCTCCAACGTTATGGCTTATGCGTTTTATTCACGAAATTGTCAACTAACTTTCACATACTTCATTCAAATAATTTACATTAAACAAGACATCAAAATAAAATAAAATAACAGGCCAAATGGGTATAAGGGCAAAAAGACCCAGGGCGAACAGGTAATAGTGCGAACGGACCAGGAATCCCCTCCCACCACCTACCTAGAATAGCAAATGGTTGTGCCCCCTATGCATAGATATATTAATAGTCATGCCCTAAGAAACTGCACATGGATTTGTTAAAAAGTAGTCATAAAGAGTTTAAAACCTACACTGCCAACCAGAAATTAAGTATTTCGAGCTTCTTAAAATGACACACGCCTTTGCCTGAATCTAAGACTACTAGTCTCAGCCTGAATTAAGATTTAAAAGAGACCCCCCCCCCCCCCCCCTTTTTTTCAAAAAAGAAACAAAACACAACACATAACAATAACGAAAGGAAAATTATTAAAAAAAGATAGCTTATCTATAAACCTATTTAGAGTAGATGTTCATAAAAGACTCATCGGCCGGTAACAATATTCACGAAATAAATATGGATACACGAAGTACGATGTCAAAGACAAAGATATATATGGTTTACCATGTTTATGTAGGCCTAAAGCTGTTATTTTACCAAGTTCGGCCTTTTTTGGTACAACGTTGATATGGATTCAACATATCGCATGACTTCCTTGACATTAAGATAAACAAAATTGCTACAAAGAAAAGAAGAATCCAACTTTTAATTACATTTTACGTTGACATTTTCGGCGCCGGAAATTGACAACGTTGATCTATGTACTGACACAACTTCGGATGAGGTCGATTCCGCCAATTCTGCTTAAAAAAATCCCTACCACTTAAAACTTATTGATGTCTTAAAATTAATACATTTGTTATGTTTCAATAATTTTTTATTTAGTTGATAATTATTTTCGAGAGAAGAATAGCTATCGTGTACTTCAGAAACAAGGTTAAGGGAGGACCACGCCCCCATAGTGGGGACATACAAAATAAAGATGACCGTTCTCCATTTCTACTCGATAGAAATGCCTAATTTTTTCATAACATATACATTATGTACCAAAGATTATTATATGAAAGTATAAAAAAAATCGAGGCGGAGATATTTTTAGAAACATCTAATAATTATAGCAGACCAATAGACGTAATAGAAAAATAGACGAAAAAAGCGCCTTCTTCAATTTCGAAAAAAATCTATAATTTTACAATTTATGGACACATATTATTATTTTTAAGGAGTTAAATATCTAAGGATTCACCTTTCCATGGCAGTTGAATGAATATTTACTTTAAAAACAGAAACTGTTCCAATTTCTAAATCTATCGACCTTGCAAGGAAAAATTTATAAAAAATTGAGACCCCTACTTTAAAATGGGTACAAATTTTTGCCCTGGCTTGAACACCCCTGTTCTTTACGAATTTCGATGCCAAAAACTAGCGAGAATAGGATGTAAATTTTTTTAGAAAATCGAAGGATATGTATTTTTTTGTACCCATTTTTAATATCGCTATTTAATTCTACAGTGCATGAAATCAAAATCCGAAATTCTATGTTCAGATATAAAAAAATAAGATTTACTTTTATTTTAATGTTCTAAAATGAAAATAATATGTAAACTCATATATTTTTCTCTTATAAATATTCTTACAATCAACAGTATTTACCGTCGGTACTTTGCCGTAAGTGAATGAAAAAAAAATCACAAAAGCGCGCCATTTTTCAGTTGACGTCGGCCGACGCAAAATAGTCCAATTTTCGGCGGAGGACTACTGAGCGCCGCCGAATCACATTTTGGCCAAAAAGGCACATCCGGTTGTCCTACTGGATATGGAGATCAAACTTGAAAATCCGATGCTGGAAAATCCGATGCAGATGTTTTCAGATAAGTGCATTAAAAATTTAATTCAACATGTGTATATTATGATTATAAATTATAATTTATTGAGGAACTATGATTTTTTTATTGTTTATATTTGAGCAAATCAACATCAGAAAGTCTGAAATCATAAACTGAAAATGATATATTTATTTTTAACATGAGTTTTTGACAATGAATAATCTTGTTGTCACATAACAGACATAACTGTTAGACATGTAAAAAAAATATTGAGTTGTGTGAATGGTTATTTGGTGAAAATAATAAGTCGCCGGTTTTTAATCTTCAGGGGATAAAAAAAGGGGGAGGGTAATTAATTTGATTCCAAATGGCTTCCAATGTACTTAGCCTGGCATCCCGGCCCGATCTAGCTGTGCGTCGCAAGGGCCAGGTGGGGAACAAATACTACGTGACCGATTCAGTGCCAGTTGACTCTGAATCTAAAGTGAGGCTGAATAAATATTTGCATAAATTTTGATGTTTGATGTAAACCAGAGATTTCAAACCAATGATTAAGAAACATTGCTTCTGATTCAATACATTTTGCTCTCAGATTGACGAGTCCCCATTGTCAGTAATATAATAAAATAAATATATATTAAACAGTATAAATAAATACTAGTATGTGTAATCAGGAACATATATATTGACTCATTTCCCGTTAGATATACTGTTCCCAGATTTAATATATATTTTATCAGGAAGGATTATATGGGGTAAGAGTCAACGAAACAACTCTTTATTTATAAAAATCAAATTTAATAAATATTGTAATTGTCTAATGTAATTATAATTTAAAACAGATGTACGATGGTGTATCTTCGCACATGTACACATCATTTGAAATGTAACCCCTCTCCCAAAAAAAAAATAACTGCAATTTTTGTTGGCCTTTACTTTTTATGTTTTTTTCCATATATATTTTGCCCTTTGAGATACATGTGTACATGTAAATTAGGTCGTATAAGTAAAATCCAATTCACACCTTGGTCATGCGAAATCTTAAACTTTTAACTTTCTCACCAGTTGATTACTGATAAGAATTAACCCTTTTCTGCTTACTAATTATCATCACACTAATAATTAGATATGATAACACTGTACATCAATTCATAAAGAAAAATAAATACAGTCTAATTTTTACTAATTGATGTTAAACAAAAATTGATTGGATACAGATGTAAAACAAACATTGCGCGACAAAATTAGTATTAACCAATCATTGACAGGCAGGACATTGATACACGCCTGGCTATACTGACAGATTAGCCAGGACCCCTTGCGACGCGCAGCTAGATCGGGCCGGGATGCCAGGCTAAGTACTGACAGATTAGCCAGGACCCCAGGCTACCAATGTACTATATAAACATGCAATAATATTTCTATTGAATTTATTGCTTCAAAACGTCTTGAACAATTGATTCTTTGTGGATTTTTTTTTTTACTTTTAGGGGATTTAATGATTTTAAAATGGAGCTGCCAACTTTGATAGTAAGGCCAAAAAAAAATATGTGTTTCCGGTAACCCGACCGCCCTCTTTATTAGCCCCGACCCTAATTTTTTTATTGGATCTTCAAAAAAAATGGTATCAACCGACCCTGTTTTTGACACAGGCTTCTATTAATCGACATAATTATTTATCTAACTTGCTTCTACTGGCACAGAAAGCCAGTAAAACATTTTATTTATGTCAAAAGGTATTCCAAATAGGTTAAAAACCAAGAAATTTGCACAGCAGGTGCTTCAAAAACATTGCAAATGGCCGCACTTCCGGTATTAGAAACTAATTACGGACCCGGACTTAGAAAAACCATGACAATTTTCCGGTTTTGTTTAAAATGTAAAAAAAAAAAAAAATCCGACCTGCCGACCCTATTTTTCAAAATGATGTTACCGGAAAAACAGATATTTTTTTTAGGCCTAAACAGATTGCATGCAGATTCCAGTTACCTTTACTCAGCAATACTAGTTGGAAGTACAGAGACAGCAAATTTAATTACAGAAAGGAGAAGAACTTAACATGTATCCTTTATATCTGATTTTCATTAAGCCTAAATTAATATGTATTGTTTGTTTCCACAATCCCGACACCGCCAAGCCAGGTGTGGGTAGGTAGGTAGGGAAATAATTGACTTAGTTTTGACAACAGTCTTCACGCTGAACCACAGGCCCAGCAGCCCAGGCTTGTAAAATTGCTCTCGGGCCTGTAAAAATCATATCTGGCCTCCTGCTACAGGCCAACAGTATCTAACTAAAATTTTCCAAAAATTGAGCTCGAGCTCTGGGCCTGTAGATTTTAAAGTTCATCGTGAAGACTGTGACAATAAAATTTTATGAGTCGGACCCGTTTTTGCAGGGTCGGTAGGGATTGGGGAAACAGACAATATTTTATTTTAGGCCTTATAATATTTGAAACTGAACAGCGAGGATCGTTAAGCCATGGTGAACAATGTGTATCTGAATACAATTATTGAATTAAGACAATGAAATGCTTAAGTGTATTAGTGAACATGAGGAGGAGGGGGTTGGGAAAGGAACCATTTTGATTGGTAATTTAACAATCTAAGCAGCCATTAAAAATGGCCAACAAATTTGCTAGTAGTAAGTACTAGTATCTAATTTTGATGGGATTTAATGCCATGGTATTTTGACCCCCCTGCCATGGTATAATAAACCCCCTACTATAGACCTCTAATTTCAAACATTCTAGCTATTCTAACTCCTTTATATAGTAATAATACTCCAATAAGTAATTTGTATGTATTTAACATGCTGGAAAAGATGTTTTGAAAGTTTTACTTTGCCATGGTATTTTGACCCCCCTGCCATGGTATAATGAACCCCCTACTATAGACCTCTAATTTCAAAAATTCTAGCTATTCTAACTCCTTTATGTAGTAATAAAACTCCAGTTAGTAGTTTGTATGTATTTAACATGCTGGAAAAGATGTTTTGAAAATTTTACTTTGCCATGGTATTTTGACCCCCTGCCATGGTATATTGAACCCCCTACTATAGACCTCCAATTTCAAAAATTCTAGCTATTCAAACTTCTTTACATAGTTATAATAGTCCAATAAGTAGCATGTATGTATTTAACATGCTGGAAAAGATGTTTTGAAAATCTACTTAGCCATGGTATTTTGACCCCCCTGCCATGGTATATTGAACCCCTACTATAGACCTCTAATTTCAAAAATTCTAGCTATTCTAACTCCTTTACATAATTATAATAGTCCAATAAGTAGTATGTATGTATATAACATGCTGGAAAAGATGTTGTAAAATTTTACTTAGCCATGGAATTTGAACACCCTGCCATGGTATATTGAACTCCCTTCTATAGACCTCTAATTACAAATAAATGTAGCTATTCTAACTCCTTTATATACTAATAATTCTCATATAAGTAGTTTGTATGTATTTAACATGCTGGAAAAGATGTTTTGAAAGTTTTACTTTCCCATGGTATTTTGACCCCCCTGCCATGGCATATTGAACCCCCTACTTATTTAATAATAGACCTTGAATTTCAAAAATTCTAGCTATTATAACTCCATTATATAGTTATGATACTGCAATTAGTAGTTAGTATGTATTTAACATGCTGGAAAAGATATTTTGAAAATTTTACTTAGCCATGGTATTTTGACCCCCCTGCCATGGTATATTGATCCCCCCCCCCTTTTTCACCTCTAATTTCAAAAATTCTAGTTATTCTAACTCCTTTACATAGTAAAATACTCCAAAAATTAGTTTGTATGTTTCTAACATGCTGGAAAAGATGTTTTTAAAGTTTTTGACCCCCGCCATGGTATACATAGTTATAATAGTCCAATTAGTAGTTCGTATGTATTCAACATGCTGGAAAAATCATATCTATTCAAACTATTTTACATAGTTATAATGCTGTAACTAGTATTTTGTATATATGAAACATGATGGAAAAGATTTTTTAAACATTTTTCTTAGATATGGTATTTTGAGCCTCGCCTCCCCCACTTTTCAAAGTTTTAATACTCTAATTAATATATGGTACGTATAAGTCATATTGTAAAGATGTTTTAACCATTTTACTGAGCCATGGTAATTTGACCCCCTCCCCCTTTTTTTACCATGGGAAATTTAACTCCCTTTATATTTTAGGATTTCAAATAATCAAAACATTGAAGGTTCATGTTCTTGTCATAATGCTTCAATAAGTATTTTGAATGAAATTTTGTTGGTAAAGACTTCAGCATGTTCAGAGCACCTATACCAAGCCATGGTATTTTTTTTTCCTACCATGGAAAATTTACCTCCCCTTTTGGTATGTCTGATTTTCAATCTATAATAAGCTTTTAAATAATGTATAATGTTCTAATAAATATCTAGAATGATAAAAACAGGGGGGTTCAATTTACCATGGGGGTTCAATTTTCCATACAAGGGGGGTTCAATTTACCATGGGGGGGGGGGGGGGTTCATGATTATGATTTGGTGATTATAAAAACTCCATAAATTTCAGGATTTTACTAAATCACTAATTTTACATATTCATTTCAGTGTAAAAAAATAACCATAAAGAGAATTAAACTATCAACGGATTTTATCAAAATGAATTGCAAAGAAGAAGTTTTAGGTCCCCAACACATTACAAGCTTATAAATTACCATCTTCCATCAGTTACGCTAACATGCGGAATGTGTAAGAAGAATTCCATATTAAATTATTTCTTTGCAACACTATTCTAATGACAGATATAAAATATTTGCGTTATAAAATTTATGTTTTTTTCATTATGATATACTCACTAAAAAACTGCTGCACCACCTGAATAAAATCCTATCCCATCTAAGTAAGTAAACTGTACTTATGATCACCAATAGTGAAGCGACTCCTATCAATAACGAAAAGGGCTCCATGTTGTTTTATTCAGATATATTGTTCTATCCTGCAAAATATTTGAATATCAAACTGACTAGATTTTATTTTATACTGGTTTTAATATAATGTGTTCTTTTGTAAACCTTTAGTTAGTCCAGTAATGCTGACCGGAAATCTCATAACAATAGTTGAAACCCTGTCACATGTTCTTGTACCTAACCCAAGTTAGGACTCTTTGACAGTGGTTGTCTTCTTATCATCTCATTGTTCTTGTCATGTTTGGAATTTAGTCTGATTTATCACTGAACTAGTACACATTTTTGTTTAAGGTCCAGCTGAAGCACGCCTCCGGGTGCGGGATTTTCTCGCTGTGTTGAAGACCCATTAGTGGCTTTCGGCTGTTTTCTACTCTTTGGTCGGGTTGTTGTCTCTTTGGCACATTCCCCATTTCCATTCTCAATTTTATGATCAATAAATTTACAACTTGTGCCACAAGGTGATATTTCATTTGCGTCAAAAATGAATACTTATATACTAGAACACACTTGCGACGTGTTCATGACTGAATTAAAGTACCTAATCCTTATTTTTAACCTGGACTTTAAGTATTCGTGTTGTCATATTTCAGGCGGAAACCCAGTTGAAATAGAACAAAAGAATCGAAGCTCTTTGTTAGAGAAGGCGATAAATGCTTACTGTAATGTTTTCTATAGTAACAAAAATTTTAAAAGTTAATAGAAACAACTAAAATGATAGTTTTCGACTAAATTACGAAGTATTTTACCATAAAAACGCCATTTGCAAAAGTTTTCAATTTATCTATTACATAATTAAGCAGAACAATTAGATATCAAGTCGACGACATGGGTGTCTATTCAGTTGGATCTAAAAAAATGCATAACCTCCGATTCTTAAATAAAAATTATCACGGACGTAGAACATATCAATCTATTTTTTCCTTAATTTTCGTTTCTGCCCTTCCATTATGCGACTCAAGAAAAAAATCCAAAAAATGGGTAACACTTGCATCGAAAAGAGAATATAGAGTGCACCTTTTTATGTTAGGGCGTGTTTGATTTAAATATTTTGTCTTGAAAACGTATAAAGCAAGAGTATTTGATACATAATCTCGCTTCAGATTCTATCATTTTATATATCAAGGCTACAGGTTGACTTTATAACATCAAAAATTCACAGTACTAAAAAATGCAATATATGGGTCAAGCAAAATACCTTTCTGATGAATCACAAAAACAGAGTACGTGTGTTCGAATAGCATATTTTTACTAAAAGTACTTGACGACAGACTTTTAAGTTGGATCTTAAAAATGCGTATGTTCGAAAAAACTTAATTTTTTGTGTGTGATAATTAGCGTTTATAGTCTTCAACCGCTGAAAATTTTAAGTCTGCCCTTCCACGAAATATTTAATTAGAATTTTTTTAAATGTTTATGAATTTTCGAAAATTCCACCTGACAACCTATCAGATAATAGTTTTAAGTTGACTGTATGCAGACAAGTACATTAACTGATGCTCATTAGCTAGTAGATAAATTTGTCTTTTAAAATGCAACTGGCATATAAGGATCGTAATGGTGCTATGTGGACAAATTTATCGGTTTTCAAGAGCTAAATTGGCAGCGCGTCATCCCTACAATGGCTTCCATTTTTACGATTGTAAAAATGAACTGGCGTAATGGGGAGATAATTTTCACGAAGTAGAATCCTGACTGATTTGATAAAATCATGCTGATTATAAGGTCACAGATTTTCTCTGCTTTTTGTTTGAACCCGTCCTGGTTTTCTCACTACAATATAGTAGTGGTACTCCAGATAGTTGAGGGAAGAATAAAGAAGAAAATCTACAACCGGTCACTACATGTACATATACTATTGGTATCGGTATCGGATTCGACCTGGAACTTGTTAATAGAGCATTTGCATTATTCACGTATTTGCTAGCGTATCCGTATCGACGTATCGTATAACACGTATACGAGGAAAGGATAAATTAAGTCACGTTGGTCCCGATGAAGATATTTTATAATGCATTTAATTTTAATCTAATTTTAATTGAGGTCGGGGCCAAATCATTATTTTATACAAATCTGTCCGATACGTATACGTCGATCCGTGCAAGTATATAGATACGTGAATAATGCAAATGCTCTATTAATAGAAGTGGGACACTTAAAGACGTATCGTATCTGTATCTGATACGTTGACGTATATGAACGTATCTATTGGTTATTGTTAAAATACATGTAGCAATCGAGAATAGGGAAAAGAGTTGGGAAAAAAAGAAAGGTTGATGACTATTTTTGGTCTTTATCAATTTTAATACCTGAATTGTTTTTTTTTAATAATTGTTTAATAGATGTATTTAAAATGTGTTTATATACTTGCTTCTTGTATATCAAAATCATGACTTCTTTTATCTATTGTTACATTTGTTGCCCTAAAGGTGATGTTTCTACGATATATATATATTTACAGAAACTAATAATACAATTATGAAAGCATAGACGACAGCAGAAGCTAACATCTACACACATTTAACAATCACGTGTTTTTCGTGTCAATCTATATACTTGTATATGTTTTAGCATTCGATATTTAAATCATTAGAACTACCCAGGCGTGAAGATTTAACAATTAAAGTTTACGTTGACAATATTTATACGCGTACTTTAAATTTGCTAATAAATGAATCATTCAACATCAGCAGAGTCGGATTGGTGACTGCTACCAATTTCAATACATTAAGCAGGCAATACTTTTTTTTTCAAATAGTAAAAATGAAAGAGAATAAAAGAAATGCATCACCCTTTCCCTATTTGTTCCCTCTCTTATCCTTGTTCTCGAAATTATCATCACAGTTTTTGACTCAATCATTAAATATATCTGCATTAGTATCATTTAAATTCATGCCTGAAAAGTGATGATCGATGGTTTAAATATCGAGTGTTTAGATATAAACGAGTAAACATAAATTGAAAACTATCGTGTTAAAAAGAGAGTGTATTAATAACCGAAAGACATCTAACATAACAAAAAAAAATCCACATTAACATGTACTATTTAAACACGTAAATAATCAATTTTGATCAATAACCAATAGATACGTTCAGATACGTCAACGTATCAGATACGGATACGATACGTCTTTAAATGTCTCACTTCTATTTATTGGTAATCTTAACTATGTGGAAAACACAAGGGCCTGAAATGGTGTAATTTTATATCACCATTGTCCTAAATTAGATATGTATATATATAATTACTCTAAATATCAGCACAACAATGTTAAATCTGCAAATTCGCGGAAGCAATTTTTTGAAATTGAATTTTTTAAAGTTGAATTCTTTGATTCGTCGTTTTTACGCCATGCCGGCTAACAAATTGGACCTGTTTATTTAGTAGTATAGAAGATTTTGGACAATTTTCACGTAATATAATAGATGGTTAAAGGTTGTATGGTAGTTTTATCCCAGATACAGGATATAAGAATTCAATGTACATCGTTTGTTCATACTTATTTCTCATACATTGCTTCACGAAAATAAAATTTGGTTTACGGCGCAAATGAAATGCCAATTTAAGGATTATGATTCAATGCTAAACATATGGAACTTTATAGAAAATCCACAGCCTTTCCCCTTGTATTCTCATATTTGGCAATTCGGTGCTTGATAGATAGGGTATTATTGCATGCAGTGCTAGCAATGATTTCCTTAAAACAAGTTTATAAATTTAGATATTGGTTAAAACAAATATAAATATGGACCAATTCAAGTAAACCTTCTAGGGTGTGCTCGACTTGAGTGACTCAGCACGAGGTTTTCTGGAATTTAAAGGTTGTTTAGGACTTTTTGTAAACAATAAATGCTAGCAGATCATAGAAAAACAAGTGAGTAATCTATGTTTAAAATTTTATAACAAAAATCTTATTCATTTCTTAAAGGGGCATTAGCTGTCAAATTCATGTTCACCGATTTGACTCAAATTCTCATAACAAACTGAAACCTATATCTTAACTATAAAAAGACTAAAATAAACAATTAACAATGCATAATATTTATCATCATTTCGTGTGTATTTTAGTCTAGACGCCATCTAATTAACCAGTGAGTAAACCTCCGAAGACTGTCGACGGTCATACAACCCGATATAATTTAAAACATAAATATAGATATAAATAGATAGCGAACTCGTGCAATTGGATTTTCTAGGTCTGTTTGATTTCATATTGTAGGTTAAAATATATGTTAATCATCGTTTTTACCATACGAATGAATTTTTGTGGATCGAATCAGTTAATCAAATGGTTTACCCATGTTTCACTTTCATTGTTGACATTCTTTTCCTTTTAATATCTGAACACGCCTAATTCATGCGTAAATCACCGCTACCTAAGGGGTTTAATTGAAGGTTACATGAATACGGATTCAATGAGGTCGAATTATTCACTTGCAAGTGAATAAATCATCAGCGATGTTTCTTTGCTTATATAGACAAAATTGAACCAAACTGGTTGCTAAAAGCGAATTATTATTTCACTATTTCACTTTCATGATAATAATCCAATACAACCTATAGCAAGAGGTTATGGATGATTCGCCATTTTCTGAAGTTTCAATCTTTACTCATCCATAGTTTAAACATACTCTAGTCGCAAAATATCACAAAAAGGATAAGATACAAATAGACAATAACTGTTTAGTGTCTTTATCCTGCAATTAAGTTTGTATATTGTTTTTGCTTTGAAAGACAGAAAAAAAGTCAAATTTTTGCTTTAAAATCCTTTGAGGCCCGCGTAGTAATATTAAAATCACACATTCAGCTGCAGACGAGTTCGCAGAAAAGAATCTCGAATGGTCAACAATACTACATCGCTCAAAGTAAATTATTATTTATTATAACATAACAACAAATTTCAACACTTGAAATAAATAACAAAACATTGTCCGATTTATACAAAAGTGTATGATTTGTCCTACGCTTCAGAATTTTGAATTGAACTTGACATTTACTGAACATCCTGAAATTGACATTGTTGCATGGTCC